GGTAGAGCATGGTGCCTACCTTTCTCCATACAAAAATTGCCTCTCTCAGGAACTTTATGTTAAAACTTTGCACTTCAGGAAAGACTTTTGTGGGTTTCATGGTGCTATAGATTATAAATTATCTGAAGATACAAATAATTGTTAGTATAACCTGGAGATTCTAGAAATTAAAAGGTTAGCAAAATATATGGTTTTTATGTGTATAAAGGAAGCATTTATTAAATATATGTACTCTATGAGGATATATAATAAATAGAAGGTTTAGAAGGAATGGTCCAATCCTTTTGTGGAGTTCGTAATCTAGTTTTGTTTAAATATGTACACAGTTGTCCCTCCTTATCCAAGGGGGATTGGTTCCAGGTCCCCCCACGCATACCAAACTCCACAGATGCTGAAGTTCCTGATATAAAATAGCATAGTGTTTGCATATAACCTATGCACATCCTCCTGTATACTTTAAATCATCTCTAGATTCCCTATAATACCTAATACAATGTAAATGTTATGTACATAGTTACTATTCTGTATTTTTTTTAATTTGTATTTTTTATTGTTGTATTGTTATTTTTATTGTTGGTTTTTTCTTTTTTTCCTTTTTGTCTTTTTTCGTGTCCGGCAACGGATTGCAACCCTCAGTGTCGCGCCCGTACCGGACCGGGACCGGCAACGGGATTGCAACCCTCGGCGTCGTGCCCACACCTCGCTCAGCCAGTGAGCGGGAACTGGTCTGCATGTGGGATCTGAACCCTCGGCGGGAGCGCCGCCGCACTCCCAAGCGGCGCACTGTAGCAGTGCGCCACCGGGCCGGCCCTTATTGTTGGTTTTTTCAATCAAATATTTTCAAGCTTTGGTTGAATCCTTAGATATGAACCCCCTGACATGGAGGGCAGATCGTAATTTAAAAAAAAAGAAAAGAAAAATGGAATCTCATATTTGGCTTTATCTGGCATATGCCTGCCTCAGCAGCCCCCTTTCCAATTAGTTTCCAAATCTGTCTACTCCTTTTAGTAATTTGGCACTCATACTCTTTTCCATCTCAAGGCTGTCCATCATGTATTTTCCTGTGCCTAGAAATTTCATTTTATCTGTTCAGATTCCTCATTATATTCACACCCTTTCTTAACGTAAATGTTACCGTATTAAAGGAATTTTCTTTGACCCCTCAGACTATATAAGGACCTGCTCTTAAGTATTCTCAAGGCATTTCATACTGCTACTTCATAGTATTTCTTTCATTGTAAATAATTATGTAATGATTTGTGTTATAGCTTCCCTGTTTTCCTATGTCAAAAATAAAATTATATAAAGTTAGCGTAAATCTGAAAGTTTATTGTCATACAAAAGTACAGATTTCAATCTGGTAGTCTTCAAGTGTTAAGAAATTTGCTTTGCAGCTTAATGTTTATGAAGCATATTTTGACCTCTTTTGTAATTGGCTGTTATATATGAAGTGTTTGTTTTAGGACAAACAGAGCTATTTAAGCAGATTTTACTATAGCTGATTGGCTTAATTTCACTGTATCATAATGATGAGGATGTAAATCTTATGTATTTTGTTTGTTTGTTTGTTGTTGACAGCTGGCTGGTATAGGATTGTTGTTATTAGCACTGTGCGCTAACCAGGTGAGCTAACTGCGCAGCCCAAAGCTTACATTTTGTGTTTATGATCAGAGATA